GCAGTCTAAGGACACTGTGTTTAAATGTGAATGAATCTAAAATATTTTGTAAAATTCAAGCCTGAAATGAAAGAAAAAGTTAAACTAAAACCTTAACTTTATATGCTTGTGTATCAAAATGAGCACTAATAACTTACAAATGACTCTTACTCTTCTATCCGTTACAAGTCATTGATTTTTGCGGTGCACTTAACATCACAATCCTGTATTTTCCAAACCTTGAAACCCCTGGTATGAAACATAAACCCACAGATTCCCAGCAGCGTTTATAAAAGCTCCGGACCACACCCAAAATTTTCCAACTGGGAAATATGTCTAGACCTCGGAGCCATCAGATCAGGTTACCTCCATTTAAAGCGCAGCCAAAGCCGGTGTGTTTAACATGCGTTTGGTTTGTAACAAAGGAGGTATTGTGCGCTGTGGAAAAGACGGGAGCGCTACTGTTGTTTGGGGAGATTTGCATTGGAAATACCTGAATGCACTGTTAAATAAGGCTTTGGATGAAAGGGGAACTATAGCGACAATAGATATAAGACTATAATGAGCTGGATTACAGGAAGTGGTGTGACCATATAAGGGCGACACCTGGGAAATTGTAATAACGCAGGTGGGTTTGCTAAATGTAATAGAGATACATTTATTTTAAAGGACTTATATTGCGTTGTAATGCTGTGACTACGGATGTAACGATATTTAATTTTCTCGGTACGATATTATCACGATATGCATCACACGGAACGATATTTATTGCGATATTTTGAACAGGGACACTTTTTTTGCTTTTAAAATACCTTGACAAGATTTTGGTGTGAATTATTACCGTCATAATCCCAAAAATTCAAGTAAAAAACATATTTCTTCATGTTGTCTGCACTAAAATGAATCATGGGATATGTAGTTCCCGATGTTTACAAGCTATTACTACTGTAAAACCATTCATTTAAGCAAAGAAACTTGTAATTTGATATATTGTGACAGCCCACGATATTATTGTGAGACTTTTGACGATACGATATCACAATATTTCGGTTATTGTTACATCCCTAGTTGTTACCTCATCAAAAACATACATGGAGTTGTGTTTTGTTTCATTCACACATACGTCCATCCATTTTCTTTCGCTTTATCCAGGGGCAGGTCACGGGGGCAGCAGTTTGAGCAGGGAGGAGCAGCGGCTCTACTCTAAGTTCCTCCTGTGGGACTGAACTCCTCTTATTATTATCTATCAATGTTAGTCTGTTGTCTTGGGAAATCCGTGTGTTTTTTATATGTATTTAATGTTTATTGTGATTTTGAGTCAAGTGTGAGGGATGAATTTAATTAATTGTTTATGGAACAAAGCCATTCTGCACTGTAACATTTTATTTTGTAATTGTGTTTTTATACGTGTTTGTTGTGCATAATGTAGATGAATGAAATGTGAAATATGGGACCTGCCTATCAAATTTGCTAAACAAATTTACCTACGGGTACAAATAAAGCAACCTAACCTAACCTAATCAGCTAATCTCTAAGGGAGCGCCCAACCACTCTGCAGAGGAAATAAATTTCGACCGCTTGTATTCTCGATCTTGTTCTTTCGGTCATTACCCAAAGCTCATGACCATAGGTGAGAGAAGGAAAGTAAACTGAGCGGTAAATCCTGAGCTTTAGCTTTCGGCTCAGCTCCCTCTTCATCACAATGGTTCAATACAGCGAGCGCAGCACTGCTAACGCTGCACAAATCCACCTGTCAGTCCTTTATTATTAGTCTGTCTACATTTCCAAAACTCAAAATGCTCTGTTCCACCTTGTGATGTCATGAAGCTGTAGTTTACAAACAGCTACTTTTACTTTTAGTTCAGTAGAGATTGACAATTCCAGGGCTGAAATCATCCAAGTGATTCTAGTGAAGGTGTATGGAGTTTAAAAAAAAAACACAGTGGAGCACTTCCTCTATCACGACATGACATCACAAGGTGGAACAGAGTGTTTTCAGTTTGAGAGCTCAGCCTAAATGTGCAGGATTTCTGTGTTAAACATGTGTGAATGAAACAAAATAGGGGCCAGAAAATCTTAAAACTTGGCAGTGTTTGATGATATAGTGTTAATCTACCTTGATAATTGCTTAACATTCCGTCATAGACATACATGCCGTGCTCCCCAGCGTGACGTCATCGTGTATCAATAATAAAAGAAAAGTGTCATGATAATAATTATATTGAAAGAATATTTATTGCGCGACTTTTAATTCCACTTTTCGACCGCTGTTGTCTCTGTACACAAGCTGTTCAAACAAATCTAACTTGGTCGAGCCCGGGCCGTATCCCATTTCCCAAAGTCAACAAACTCACGACATCTGTGTGTGTGTTTTGTGCGTAGAAATTCAAAATGGCCACCACATATTCGCGGTGTCACCTTTCATGCACTCCAGAGCCGTTGGAAAACATGATGACTAATGTATCCGAGCATGTGTCTGTGTTAAAACCGAATATGGATGTGCCCCGGGGACCACTTCCTGCCAATAAGAGCTTTCCGAGTATTATGTGCTCTGTTCCCAAAGGTGTCCACTGTCAGAAATACTTCAATTTATTGTTGAGTTTGGAAGGCAAAAGTTTTGAAGAAATGTACTTTTTAGAAATGTTTTTGACACCATTCTTTTACTTTTATAATATTTTTGTAGATCAGAGTCTAAAGTCTAAAATGCAGGACAGGACTATACAGATTTACTTAAAGGGCCCATATTACACTATTGTCTGATCTCCACTGTGTTTTTAAACTCCATACACCTTCACTAAAATCATTTGGATGATTTCAGCCCCTGGAATTGACAATCTGTACTGAACTAAAAGTAAAAAAGGTACTAAATTAACTTGAAAACTACTTCATGACATCACAGCATTTTGAGACTAATAATAAATAAAATAAAGGGTTATTATAATAAAGGGTTAACTCCAGGTATATTTTTGAGGAGGTAACAACAAGGGATGTAACAATAACCCAGAGAACTACACAGCCCATGATCCTTTGCTGCAGTTCAGTGTAGACTACAAGAAGAAATAACAGTTCTAAGCACTTTTAAGTCTTAGTTCTTCGGATTAAGTCTTGTCAAAGCATTTTAAGAGGAAAAAGTCACATATTAAAAGTTTTGTTAGCCTCCAAAAAATATCTAATAATGTAATAAATATTGTACCGTGAGATGTATATCATGAAAATATCGCACAGAGAGATTTGGATATTGTTACATCCCTAATCGTGAGCCTCCCTGTTATGACCCAGCTCGTTTGGGGTGGAGGGAAGTAACAAAAATAAAACCAAGATGTAAAATGGAATAAATTAAATAATGTTTAATTAACAGGAATGTAAAGGTAAATTAACAAAACAGACTAAAATATACAGAAAGCAACCTAAACTAAGAAACAGAACAACAGAATAAACAGAGTTCTGTGCCAGAAAAGGGGTCACGCAGGCTTACAATAAAACGAGTGGTAAAACTTAGGGACACACACTAAACTAAAACACAAGTTCCCCAAATTAAACCACATAAACCCACAAACAGAATCGAGTGACCAAATTTAAAAAAGGCACAAAACAGAACTAAACTAAACTACACACACACAAAACAAAATGGCAGACTGGCCACCAAGGCCAGCAGCCCTGAACAGGTGCTGGTCATCTCCTTAAATAGAGGGAGGTGGCTGCAGGTGAGGTGGGCGTCGTCCTGCCTCACCAAGGGCTCCTGCAGCAGGAATCCAGGTGTGTCAGACTTATTTAGAACACACAGAACAAATTGGAACTAAGGCCTGGGGCCGTAACACTCCCCACCATATCGTGAGCTTTCCCAAGGTATCGCAATAAATATCGTACCGTGAGGGTCATACCGTGACAAAATCGTATTGTGAGACTTATATTGTTATTACTGTTGGATATCGTTACACCTCTGGAAACAACATTATAACATAGCTAAATGTGTGTAAAATCCCTCAGTCGTCCAGGTAGAATCCATGGCAAAAAGAAAAATTCAATTTGTCAGCTGGACAAAAGTTTATTTGGGTCAATTACGTTTCGCAGTTCATCCAAGCTGCTTCTTCAGTTCTGGTCAAAATGCTGGTGGACACTTCCTTATATCTGTCTGAAGGGAGGAGCTAACTACACTGAAACTACTCTGAAACTAACACATCTACTTGTTTAAAGTTTCCTTTAGTTAGCTAGGCTTGCTGATCTTGCACTGAGTGTGGGGTCATATCAGCATAATCATTCAGGACCATAATGGATGCTTTCACTAGTCAGTCTGTTGCCACCTACTGCCTCCGCTCAATTTCATTCCATTTCTCAGGAATCAGAATACACTAGACGGTAAGAAACCTGGAAGTGTGAATTCGGGCACCAGCCAATCAGCGAAGAGCCATACATTCTGTGTTGGAAACGATTCCCGAGATCGAGGATTTAAAGCCGGAACAAAGAGAATGTTTGGTGAATTTTATCAAGGGGAAAGACGTTATTGTCCTTCTTCCTATGGGATTTGGGAAAAGCTTAATAGACCAGTTAGCCCCATTAGTGGCGCATAACATACATTTACAGTTGCACTTTATGGAAACCGTCTGATGAATTTCACACCTCTGGGCCTGACCTGGCTATTCCTATTGTTTTCTTTGTTTGTTTTGATTTAGGTTTGAGGATGGAGTTGTAAATCGAAGACAAATGATATCTGAGTCCAGAACTGAAGAAGCAGCTTAGATGAGCTTTCCACCCAAATAAACTTTTGTCCAGTTGGCAAATTGAATTTCTTTCTCCTTTTGTCAACATGGCTAAATGCTCTCAAGAGTCAATTTTCTCTAACATAGAACGGTTAAGTGAGGAATTCGTTTTTAAGACAGAAAAATCAGATACAGCGCCTTCAAGCAGGCATGAAAACCTATTTATTTATTATAATATCAAATTTAATATAGAACCTTTAGAGAAAAGTTTACGTTATTTAAACTAAAACACATGAAGAAAAAGATCACGAAGGACACAGCCCATTTCGAATCAATTTGTCTTTATTCTAAAGGGACAAAAACATAGGACTCAATAAATATGGAGACAACAAAGACATTTCAGAATGACAGGAGCAGACAGGAGCAGACAGGAGAAGAAGAGATGTGGGCGTAACCTGCCAAACATGACGCCAATGACATTTACACGGCTGAACGGGGAGAGACAACAAAAGTGCATCGTAATTTCGATTTTTGAACATGTTTTGAATTGGACTGTCAGGAAAGAAAATAATATGAAGAATTTGACAGTTTTATAACAGTTTGGTTTTGTTTGAAGGGCATTTTGGAGTTGCAATCTTAATACTGATAGTGGCTTTTCTGGTGGATGATTAGAATTTGGTCATTTTCATAATTATTTTCATAAAAGAATTCAAATATTTATTGTTAATTTCAGATGGTTATAGATTTGATTCTTTTTGAGCTTTAAGTCATGTTGTTACCTCCTCAAAAACAGACCTGGAGTTGTGTTTTGTTTCATTTTCACATTGAGTTACTCTTTATTATTAGTCTGTCTGCATCTCCAAAGCTCAAAATGCCCTGTTCCACCTTGTGATGTCATGTAGTGGTAGTTTTTAAGTTAACAACTAACTTATAACTTTTGTTTAGTAGAGACTGGCAATTCCAGATCTGAATAGGGCTGTGCAAAAATATGGAAATATCGATATATCGTATTGTTTAATGTGATCATACAGTATCAATATCATGGGCTGCTGTATCGATATATCACTAAGAGTAATTTTTGGTATATTTGACTAAATTATTTTGTTACAGAGCTACAAGTTTTGTTGCTTGTTTAAAGGAGGGAAAGTTGTTTATGCGACACATTTGACATTTTCACTGTTTTGATTAATAAAATGGGTGTTTTTCATACTAACTTTGCACAAGAAGTGGTTCAACAAAGACTCTTAGTAGTCTTTATTTTTATTGAACCGTATCAAATCATTTTGAAATGTATCGTATTGAATCGAAAGCTCAATGTATCAAGATATGTATCGTATCGGCAACTTCTTAAAGATACCCAACTCTAGATCTGAAATCATCCAAATGATTCTAGTGAAGGTGTGTGAAGTTTAAAAACACACTGGAGCTCTTCCTGTATTATTACCACATGACATCACAAGGTGGAACAGAGTGTATCAGCCTAAAAAAGCAGGATTTGTGTGTTAAAAATGTGTGAATGAAACAAAACACAACTCCAGGTCTGTTTGTGATGAGGAAACATTATAACATAACATAACAGAAAAAAAGCATAACATTGAGAGAACTTGCTGAAAAACAAAACAAAACATTTGCGACATATTTTTTTGTCGACTTTCAATTCCGTAAGTATTCCAGTTATTCAAGCGTGTTTTGTTTAGCCAGCAAATTCCACAGAAATCCACCGGAAAAGGAGACTCCTCTTTGTCAACCGTTTTAAGCCTTAGTTCAAACAAGGAGATTTCAACACACGTTTCGGAGCCAAAAATCTGTTGGCAGGCCTTTTACAATCAGGAAAACGATGATTCATAACTCTAGAGAGATATCCTTCCTCTTTATAAGGTTAATTGCGTAACTTTTCAAGCGAAGGGCACGTCAAGCGCTTTTCTCCTTGGAGATGCTGGTGCTTTGTCTGGAATGTTTCGCAGTTCGGGATTAAATCTGGTTTGTTTTTCTAGGTATTTTTGAGCTTTAAAACCAGCTGTAATTGAATAAATGTAAAGTGTCATACTATGGAACATTCTAGACAAAGCAAAGTTACACAGTGCACCTTTAACCTTTTTTATGTTCGACTAAAGCTTTTTAAAATCACCACGGGGCCTATTTAAAAAAGATATAGTCAGCAATTTGATCTGTTTTATGTCCAGCGAAGAGATAATAGCTATAATTTGGTTCAAGCAGGGACATTAGCCGATCGCCAGCAGCAGCCAACTTGAATTTTATTTTATTTTATTCGCCCTAAATCAAACTCAAGACGAGGAGAAAGCGGTCACGATGCTGCTATCGTTAAAGATGCACTGCGTAACTTCTAAGGTGCTTGTTTGTGCTAAAGCTGTGCGATTAATTGAATTTTTATCACGATTTAGATTTTTTTGGAGGGTTATTTTTATATAAATAAGTAAATCTATTTCATTTTTAAATACAGAGATTGTAGAACAGCTGGATATATAGTTTATTTTGGATACATTTATGTTTTTCTATGCCTCATTTCATGGTCAAAGTTTATTTTATTCATTTTCTGCAGCTCTAAGATACATATTTGTAACCTAGATTTGTCTTCAATTTCAAAGTTTTGCGTAAATTATGAATAACAAAGTGGGGTTTTTTTGAGAGGGAAATGCTGAATAAATGCATCTTGTAACTAAAAACTAATTGTTTGAATAATTGTGATTTCATTATTGACCAAAATAATCGCGATAATGATTTTTTCCATAATCGAGCAGCCCTAGTTTGTGCCATTTCTTTGTCTAGAACGTTCCACAGTATGACATTAAACAGCTTTACTTTACATTTAGTCATTTACAGGTGTTTTAAAGCTCAAAAATACCTTAAAAACATGAATTTTTACCATGTGCAGGCTCGCTTCTCCATAGATCTGACTGATTAACCTGGCTCCATTGTGTTTATTTCTATACTGTGGATTAATCATGGCAAAACAGACAAGCAGATGGTGAAAACTCCACCAGAAAAGTTACGCAGTGGACCTTTAAATTTCTTTGGAGAGTGATTTAGCATCGTCGGCGGCTGAGGTGAAAAACAGGGTAGAAAACAAGGCTAGTATTTAGCTTTAAAAACTCAAAAACGGAAAAGGCAATGCTACACTTACACCAATGACTTCACATTATACCGACAACACGCTGCGTTCATGGGGTCCTCAGATAATCCGGAAAAATTATGTTGTTTTGAGTGCTTAAGAAGGCTGCAATTGTCTTAAATTGTCACTTTAATTTGTAATACTTGAAAGTACCACTGTCTGAAATAAAGCTACAAGGCGTCACAAGTAGTCCTGGTTTAGATCCGGTTTACATAACATTGTATTCTTAGTTTAGGACAGATTTATGTCAGATCCTAATCCTGGTTTAATCCTTGTTTAGTCCAGGTTTAGACCAGCTCCTAGTCATGGATATGTCGTGGTTTTGCATTGGTTTAGTCCAGATTTAGTCCAGGTTTAGACCAGCTCCTAGTCCTGGTTTTGTCCTGGTTTAGTCCCGATTTTATCCAGATTTAGATCAGCTCCTAGTACTGGTTTAGTCCTGGTTTAGTCCAAGTTTAGATCACTTCCTAGACCTGGTTTTATGCAGGTTTAGATCAGATCCTAGACCTGGTTTAGATCACCTCCTAGTCCTAGTATTGTTTAGCTTTAGATCAGATCCTAGTCCTGGTTTTGTCCAGGGTTTGTCCAGATTTAGTCCAGGTTTAGATCAGATCCTAGTCCGGGTTATGTCCAGGTTTAGATCAGATCCTAGTCCGGGTTTTGTCCTGGTTTTGTCCAGCTTTAGTCCAGGTTTAGATCAGGTCCTAGTCCTGGTTTTGTCCAGATTTAGTCCAGGTTTACCCCAGGTTTAGATCAGATCGTAGTTCTGGTTTTGTCCAGGTTTAGATCAGATCCTAGTCCAGATTTAGTCCAGGTTTAGATCAAATCCTAGTCCTGGTATTGTCCAGGTTTAGTCCAGATTTAGTCCAGATTTAGCGCAGGTCCTAGTCCAGGTTTAGCCCAGGTTTAGATCAGATCTTAGTCCTGGTTTAGTTCTGGTTTAGACACTTTTGCTCATATTGATTAATACTGGATGCTACTTATGTCTCTCCTAAACCTGCATACATTGTTTAGGCAGGGGAGGGCATCTGACATAATTCCTTTAGCAGCCAGTTTTATTTGAAATCCTAAAGTACTCTTGTCTGAAACCCACATGAACGCAGCGCTACAAAGGTTCATACAAACACGGCCAACAAACGCCACTCAAAAGAAGCGAGTGGAGCCATTTTCAAACCACAGTGACAAATTGTAACACGAGTCTCATTTCCAGCTCGCTCCTCTTCCCGCAGGAGCCTCCTTTCCACTTACGAAATCCCAACTTTGGCTTTTGTTCCCAATCCGTCTCGTTAACAACATCCTCCATGACATCATCGCTAGGATTAGCTCGTTTCCTTGACGACAACATCCCAACCGGAAAGGCCGCACTTCCCGACTCTTCAACCATCTCCCACCGTGTCCGTGACGCGGGGACATGCGTATTCCAGTAACAATTATTTTATTAAGAAGCTTACTACAACCCGGAAAAAGGGTCCAAGGATACACAGGAAGCACGCATTCAACACAAGAGCAACTTCCTGCGTCCATCATCCAATCGGAGAGAGTCTAGAGAGTCACATGACCGAGCAGCTTTTGGCTTTATCCTTGCGCAGGTCCGTCGCCACGGCAGCCAGGTCGGGTCTACTGGGCATGTGCGAGATCCTCTTGGTGGATCGAGAGGCCTTGCTCCGTTTGTGGTTCTTGTGGTTTTTGTTGATGCACGCCAAAGTGGCCACGTGGAAAATGTCCCTGACGCTGTTTTCAGACTGTTGGGAGGAGCACTCGATGTACGGAGCCGAGATCTGCTTGGCCATGTTTGAGCCCTGAAACACAAACAAAAACACAAACACGAGTCAGTCAGAGAGGTCACAACGACAGGAAATGAGTTTTTTTTTGCTAAAATCTGTCATACTTACACTACAATTAACTCTTTTTTTTTTTTCATTCATTTTATTTGTTTGAGCAAGCTACAACAAAATTCAAAAACAAAAACAGGGATATGTATATGAATATATTTGAGAACCTGGTGCTCAAAAGCAGGAATATATTTTGTTTATGGTCGTACTAACTAATAAAAATGTTAAAGTAGGCACAAAGTTTATGATCGTACAAAATAAACAGTAATGAAAAGGGAAAATTTAAGGATTTTTAATTTTCGTTTATGATCGTACAAAATAATAATAGTAATGAAGGCAAAAAAGTTTATCATTTATGATCGTACAAAATAAACAGTAATGATCAGTAATATGCACTGTCTCTAGCAAATAAATAAAAAAAAACTATTTATACATTTATTTACAACACCATGTCCAAAAATCAGTGAAAAGTGAGCTGTCAAAAATTGTGAGTACTGAGCGTGCTGCCTTCAGTGACCTCAATGCAATTTCAAGTACTATGTGACATCACACAGGACTGCACTGATCACAGCCCGGTGTTTCTGATACAAAGTGTAGATATCTATTTGACAGGGCCGAGTAAAAAATAGATCAAATCACTTACGCAAATTGGAAGATGAAATTTATTTGTTTGGGAGGAAATTGATAAAAACAAAAAACAAAAAAAACTACATGTTAAATCAGACAAGTCAAACTCAGACTCAAATTTAGCCCCCAAATTGTTGATGTTGAAATTTTTCAGTAAATATTTAGTTTGGCCCACAACTTAATCCCAGTTTTTAATTTTGGCCTCTGTGAATTAGACTTTGACATCCCTGTGTTAAATGTTGTTTTATCTCTTTCATAAAAGATTTTTCCAATGACCAAAGGGTTAAATCTGATCCCTGAATACAAGCTTTTCAGTTTGAACCATTTTCTGTAGTTTGCAGAAAATTTTTATTGAAGAGGAAACTTTTTTTTTTTTAAATCCAAATCCTAAATAGATTTTTTTTTTCAGGTACACTGCAACCTTTCTGCTGGAGGGTCTGTCCTCAGCTCGTCTTCATGGACGTGTTATTGCTTCGTCCATGGTAGAGATTGAACCTGTCTATCTCAAACGAGACAACTACAGGCTACATTACAGGTCAGATCTGTGGTGGGGCGACCCTATTCACAGAGAGAATTATTGTATTTTTGAGCAATAGAAACACCCGTAATGAATAAATGAAAAGAATTCCAGACAACGCAGTGACATCTCCATGGAGACAAGCAGGTGATAGACCGTCCACCAGAAAAGTTACGCAGTGCACCTTTAAATCGACAGTTTAAACCCGCCTTAACTCAATACAATGAATCTAAACCAAACACAAATACATACAAAAAACTTCTAGCTCAACAAAAACGATCTTAAACTGAATTGGATTGAGGTTGCCAGGTTGGAATCCGGTTATCCCAGTTTTCTGCACTTGTATACATCAATATGATTTAGTATAAGGGGAAATGTTGCCAAATTAGAATCTGATTAGCACAATAGGATTTGGGGAGTGTTCTGTTTGATCAAAGAGCCTAATCCAAAACACAATAACAACAATTATTTACAAATGATGTCAAACCGCCCTGTAACCGGAGGCTCAGACTGTGCGTTCCCAACGTCAGAAGAGACCAATTAAAAAGGAACAACATGAAAATACTTGTTTAAGTCAACAGCTGCATGTTTTATTCATTAACCTGCAGAGTTTTCAAAACATGTCCCTAAGAAAATAACGCAAAAACACAGGAAAAAACAAACTCTTTATAACTGTAGGAATAAAATGAGATTAAAATGCCAGATTCATAAGTCAGACATTTTAAGATTGAAACTATACATAACTATGAAACTAAATAACACTAAAGCAAAATTATCCTAAAAATATATTAAAAATAAATAAATAGCAAAGAGCAATAGTTATATAATTAGTTTGTATCTATTAGGGATGGGCATGATTAATCGATTAATCGATAATTGATCATTAAGAATTTCATCGGTTAATTTTAATCGACAAACCGAATGTAGGTTGCTGTGCGTAGTGTGACCAAACAGGGTCTGTACATGTAGCTCTGCACTCAGAAAGAGCGAGAAAACACAAACATTCGGTCAGCCTGCAATGTACCGAAGCACAAATGTGTATTTAACGATGACTTGTACAAGAAATTCCACGCTTTCCATTGCGTTCGGGACAAGTGTGAGTCCATGTGCACAGTGTACAAAGCAGCACATATGTTTCGGTGTCCAGTGGGAAAAAGTTTTACCAGGTGAGAGTCGCGCAATGTCGATGACGAGTCCCCACCTCCCTCCCCCCGTACGGTGTCCTGCTTTTGACAAACGCAAATCTGGTCACACTAACCTGTATTCCACTGAATAATGTCTTTTAATCCGACAGAAATTGATCGCATCAGCGACACAAGAGCTGTAGTTTTATCTTCGCTTAATTTATGCAAATTAGTGATGCAGTTTTAAGTTTTGTTTCTGTGAGAGTTGCGCAAAACTGAATTAAACACATTATAATGTCAAACGGGCTGATGTGGCTCTAGAGTCGTTACGGTTTATATGTCGTAAAGTTGAATTTATTTATGCAGATTAGTAGTGCAGACAGTAATAATAATGATGATAATTTTAATATAAAAAACGTAATAATTAATCGATAATCGATCGTTAATTCTTCCGACGATCGATTAAGAAAATTTCATCGAATGCCCATCCCTAGTATCTATAGTGAAAAATATAAAGTTATAAATTCCTTCTTATTTTCTATAAAAGCCTTCTACATCTCAAATCTTATATTGTAAAAAAAAAAAAATTAAATAAAATAAATAAAAAATAAATATTGCAAAAAAAAAAAAAAAAAAAAAAAAAAAAAAGGTACAGGTGGTAAATTATTAAGAAGAGTTCAACTGCCAAAAAAAAAAAAGGAAATATCAGTTTTGAAAATCTGCTAAAAAATAATAATATTTTTTATTTTTGTGACCATTTTCTACAGATATTATCAATGAGTATAATCTTATCATCTGGATTTTTATCAAGGACAGATGGGATAATATTTGATCACAGTAAAATTCTATACAAAGAGTAAACTGCAAGCTTTCGATCACTTTTTAAAATGACACATATCTGGTTTTGCAAATGAACTCTTGTATTGTTGTATTTTATATTGAACCAAAGTCAGTGTTGTTCTAGTTCTTAATAGTACAGTTGGGTGTGTGTAGTATTTACCTGGTCGTAGGAGACGGGGGTCTGTCTGTGGTTGGAGAGCTCCACCAGCGTGCTCAGATCTGTCCTCAGGTCCGACTTACAGCCCACCAACAGCATCTTTGTGTTGGGACAAAACTCCTGGATCTCGCCCTTCCACTGTGGACACAAACACGAGCAACATTTTGAGTCACATTTCGGAGTCAAAGTGAAGAGGATTTTTTTGTGTACTTTTGAGACACGGGTCAGAGTGCCAGTATAATTAGAGCATATTTTTAGCACAGTACTTTTCATTATAGTATACTTCACTACAACTACAACCACTACAGCTACTACTACTACTAACACTACTACTACTCTATTACTTCAACTTTTATTATTACTGACAATACAATTACTACATAAACTACTCACAACTTGCTACTAATTACGACTAGTACTGCTACTACTACTACAACTGTTATTACTGACAATACAATACTACATAAACTACTCATAACTACTACTGCTACTACTGCTACTGCTGCTACTACTACTACTACTACTACTACGTGTGCTACTTAGCTACTACTCCTTACAGTATTTGATTAATTCTTTGCTACTACTACTGTTACTGCTGATGCTACTACTACTATTACTACTACTACTACTGCAACTACTACTGCAACTGCAACTACTACTACTATTACTACTACTGCAACTGCAACCACTACTACCAGTGCAACTACTGCAACTACTACTACTGCAACTGCAACTACTAATACTACTACTATTACTACTACTACTACTACTACTACTACTACTACAACTGCAACTACTACTATTACTACTACTACTACTGCTACTACTACAACTGCAACTACTACTACTACTGCTACTACTACTAGACAAAGCATATGAAGACAGTTTAAAGTTGAATTTCCTTGTTATTTGCAATTTTCACAGTAAAAAACTCAACTCAATCAAAGAAACGTCTGGAAGTAAACTACTCGTAACTTGAACAAATAAATAGCAATTACTACTATGTGTACTACTACTCCATAGGATTTTATTACTACTGTTATTACCAGTATGTATTCATGTGTTTCAAAATGATAAAAAATGAAAACCGTAACACTTTATAACTTAATATTATATCTTTTGAATAACAGGAAGCTGAGACCCGTGAATATGTGCTACTATAAACGTTCACACTATCCCACTGCTCTCGGTTCCTGTCACCTGAACTTAAAGCCACTTCCTGTTCTCCCTCGTGCTTTGAATGCTGGGAAAAAAAAACACAAATAATCCAGGCGTTTCTTCTTCCTGTAGTACAATACCTCCTCTGTGTCCTATGGCATTCCTTTAATCTGGGGCTAATGTGGCTGCAGGCCGTGTCCCGGTCAGGAGAATCAGGTTCACCCGGAAAGCCACAGGAAGTGAAAATGTACAGTGGCTAAATACTTGGATACACTTAAAGGAGCTGTACAGGATTTTTCCCGTGTATCTGAGAATATTTTGTCTTGCCCCAGTACAAATTTATTTATTGTATAAGGAGCTCTTGAGGTCAAAATAAGTCTGCTGTGTGGTGTCTTATCTACCGTATTTTTCGGACGATAAGGCGCATTGGATTATAAAGCGCAGTATCAATAATGTTGAATTTTCTCGTCTATTTTCATACATAAAGATGCACCGGATTATAAGGCGCATTAAGCGAAACAAACAAACGACACTGGAGACTTGAGACTTTTTTATTTTCTACGAGGAGGACTCAAATATACACTGATTAATAATGTGTTTGACGGAGCTTTGCGCACATTTGTTTACGTTTTACGGAAACAAAATTTAAAACCACATGCTTAATTTGCATAAACTTTCAGCACTGAACAAAACAGAGATTTTTACAGATTTTTGAGTGCCGTGTACTACATAAAATTGGTTCAAGGTCAGTAAGCACAACCAGAATTAATACATAAGGCACACCAGATTATTTCTATAGCCTGATTCATCAGCCGGTTTCACTTTGTAGAAACCGTCTGACCTCGCAGCGTTGGAATTCGTTCGCTCGCCAGTAGGCAGGTACTTTTTTTATTTAATCAATTGCTGCTATTTGGTCGTAACATATGTTGACATAAGCTTTTCCCAAATCCCGTAGGAAGAAGGGCAATAATGTCTTTCGCCTTGATGAAATTCACCAAACATTCTCTTTGTTCCGGCTTTAAATCCTCGATCTCGGGAATCGTTGCCAACAGAGAATATATGGCTCTTCGCTGATTGGCTGGTGCCCGAACACTTCTTCCGGTGTTTCTGCGAAGCATCTAGTGTATTTCGATTCCTGATCTAGTCGCTGGAGAGAAATGAAATTGAGCGTAACCAGCCTGGCTACGATTTTTGAGAAAATAAAGGATTTTAAGTGCGCCTTATAGTCAGAAAAATACGGTAATTATAAAGTGGTTTGTAATTTATGATAATCAGGGAGTGCATGGTTAGCCTGCTCCTACTGTCAGTAAAACTTGTCACTGTTGATAATAATTTGGATACTCAGAATAACTTTTGAACTGTTTAAAATTAACTAGTTCCGTTTTTCACCATGTATATCTAAAAAATGTGTGTGAATATAACTGCAAGACCCAACTAACCATGTTTCCAATTCTATCCAATCACGGTGGTGTGTATACGTCTGTGCCTTTTGTTCTCACTCTCTTGTGACTCTTGTGACTTGTGAGCGCGACAGCTAAGTCAATAAAAAGGAGCAAACAGGAAATGCAGGTGTTGTACAGAAACATGCGCCCCCACTGGTCACGTGACACACGACACTTCCTCTGTCCAACAAGTCACATGACCAGAACATGTGATACTGCAGGATATTTAGATACTACTACTACTGGTACTCCTACTGCTACTGCTACTGCTACTGCTACTACTACTACTGCTACTGCTACTACTACTACTACTACAGCTGGTACTACTACTGCTACTGGTACTGCTACTACTACTGGTACTGGTACTGCTACTACTACTATTCCTACTTCTACTGCTACTGCTACTACTGCTATTACTATGACTGGTACTACTACTACTGGTACTACTGCTTCTTCTAATGCTACTGCTACTGCTATTGCTACTACTACTACTACTACTAATACTTATACTGCTACTACTACTAATACTACTACTACTACTAATACTTCTACTGCTACTACTACTTCTACTGCTACTGCTACTAATACTGCTACTGCTACTAATACTGCTGCCACTACTACTACTGCTACTAATACTACCACTACTACTGCCACCGCTACTGCAACTACTACTATTAGTACTGCTACTAATACTGCTACTGCCTTTAATACTGCTTCTGCTGCTACTACTACTACTGCTACTGCTACTACTACTACTGCTGGTACTACTACTGCTACTGGTACTGCTACTACTACTGGTACTGGTACTGCTACTACTACTATTCCTACTTCTACTGCTACTGCTACTACTGCTATTACTATGACTGGTACTACTACTGCTACTACTGCTACTACTGCTACTGGTACTACTGCTTCTTCTAATGCTACTGCTATTGCTACTACTACTACTACTACTAATACTTATACTGCTACTACTACTAATACTACTACTACTACTAATACTTCTACTGCTACTACTACTTCTACTGCTACTGCTACTAATACTGCTACTGCTACTAATACTACCACTACTACTGCCACCGCTACTGCAACTACTACTATTAGTACTGCTACTAATACTGCTACTGCCTTTAATACTGCTTCTGCTACTACTACTACTACTACTGCTACAACTACTGCTACTACTACTACTAATACTACTACTACTGCTGCTATTGTTTCATAACTGTATAAAAAATATCTATATGGGTAAAAATTATGTCTGAGGAAATGGAAAAACAGTACAAATGTTTTTGCGCAGTAATAAAATTTAAAACACCATTGCACAAAGTTTTGAAATAGTCACAGTGAATAATCAGGCTGGAGTAGAAGACTTTTATATAGTTCTCAATGTGTATCAAGGTTGAACGATTTTAATATTTGGATTCCGTTCACATTTTAGTTCACATTTTAAAACTACTCTTCAAATTACTATTCCACTTCCATCCTGATGTCCAGTCGAGTCATCAGACCTCCATGTGAGAGACCTGAGGCTACACAATGACCTCATGCTGTTAGTTCCGGTGGATTTAAACCCGCAACCACATGACCACACGCAAATCTTACCCTTGAGCAATACATTTCTGAGGAGCTTTACAGAGGAAGTAAAGAATCAAACGTCTGCAGTGTGGCTTTAGGAGAAAATGTGATCTGAATGAACGCAATTAGAAAAGTGCCTTAATTTCCACCACAAACAAAAAAAAATCTGTGTTTATCTTATTCTAGATTTGTTAAAAGGTGCATGTTACTGCTTTGTCTGGAATTTTTGTAAATTTTTTGACAAATTTTGAGTAATTTTTGTACCTTTTTGAGAACACTGTCCAGAGTTTCGGGCCGACTGATGTCAAAGCAGATGAGCACGGCGTCTGAGTCGGGGTAGGAGAGCGGTCTGACGTTGTCGTAGTACGGAGAACCTGCAAAATACAAAACAAATATTAATTATTGTCATTGATTCCAGTTTTTTATTTACTTTGTACACAATTAATCCACTACCAAATTGTTCTATTGGGGTGTAACAATAACCGAAATATTGTGATATCGTATCGTCAAAGTTCTCACAATAATCATCACAATATATCGAATTACAAGTCTTTTTTGCCAAAATTAAGAGTTAAAAAAAAAGACAGAGGGAACTACATAGACCATGATCCTTTGCTCCATTTCAGTGCAGACTACAAGAAGAAATAACAGTTCTAAACACTTAAGTCTTAATTCTTTGGATTAAATCTTGTCAAGGTGTTTTAAGAGGAAAAAGTAACATATTCAGAGTTTTTTTTGCAGCTTCCACAAAATATCGCAATAAATATCGTACTGTGAGATGTATATCGTGAAAACATCGTACCGAGAGATTTGGATATTGTTACATCTCTAATAGTGAGCCTCCCTGTATATCGTGAGCTTTCCCATGATATCGCAATAAATATCGTACCGTGAGGTTCATACCATGACAATATCGTACTGTATCATGAGACTTGGAAATCGTTACACTCCTAATTACCAATGAAATGTCTGAGTGCAGCTACAGGTGGTCCTGGCTCCAATGTCAACAAAAATAAAGAAGCTGTGGACGTGTAACCTGTCCATTTAACAAAGAACTTAACCATATTTGGGAGACAAACGATATTACTAAGAGAACTTTGACGATACAATATCATGATATTTTGGTTATTGTTACATCCCCTATTGGCAAGCATTTCAAAAAACGCCCGGTTCCGATGAGCGAAACTCGCTTAAGTCGCTTTCCACTAGACTCTGAGCCTGACGTGTAGGTGGGATGAATGCGACCTGTCCATTCAGACTGAAGTCACATGTCAAAAGATCGGACATGTTTCAGTTTTAGGAGCACATATCTAAATGGCCTGGGTCGCATTGGAAAAAATCGGATCTGTGTCAATAAAAGCTCAAATACAGGTCAAAAAGGAGCGAAAAAATCAGATTTGTGTCACTTCAGGCTGCAGTCTGAACAGTCTAAGACTCTCTAAACTCTAGTCCTGACCTACATATTGAGAATCCCTGTCCTGAGCCCTCCTGTAAACCTAAAATGGTCGCCCCTGTTCCATAGACAGGTGGGGTATTCAGGGGCAAATTTTCCACGTTCACCCTGGGCTATTTTGAGACGATCAAACTTAGGGTCTGTAGAGGAGAGAGAGGACAGAGCACAGAGAACAGCAGGACGTGGAGAAGAGGAAATACAAAAAAAATACGAATACGAGATACAACTAAAAATCTTTAATTCACACTAAATTCTTCTAAGTTCTTGTTTTTATACTGTTATATTAACTTTTGAGATCCTTAAAATAACCACGTGACTGATTCAGAACCCCCACAAAGGAATGAAATTGATGCTGGGATGAATTTCAGCTTTAGATCTGTTTTCCCTCTCTCCTCCTTTTCCCCATCCTCCCTCTCTCTCTGTTTCAACACGTGTGTCATGTCTCAGTCAGCATATTTTCACCGGACGCTGCATTATTTGTAATTTCTCGTTGCCGTTGCCGTGGGTTACGGTCGAGCGGAGTAAAAGAGAGTGATGTGTGAGGATGTGCGGCGCTCGTGGGTTTGAGGACACAACATTTCGAGGCGTTCGTTTTGTTTTGTTTTGTTTAGAGCTTCACTTTGGAGCGTAGTGGAGTCTGAAATATGTTTACAACTTTATATTTCAACCTTGAACAATGGAGGAAAATGAAGTCAAATATTTCTAAGTGTTTTTATCAAACTCGGAGACGAAAAAAAAAAATACTAGTAGGAGAAGGAGTAAGAATGGAAGTAGAAGTAGTGGTAATGCATTTGTTGACAATATAGGATGGTTAAAGCTGCACTGTGTAACTTTTCTCGTGGACGGGAAAGAGAAGAGAGGGGGATGACGGCGGGAAAGAGAGAGGAAGTAATGAAGAAGAGAGAGAGAGAAGAAACTAAACAGAAAAGACAAGGAGAAAGGGGGATGAGAGAAGGTGGAGGGGGAGGAGAGAGAAAGAGAAACAGAAAAGAGCAAGGGGGTGAAGGAGGGGAGAAGAAAAGACATGGGGAGGCAGAGGGAGAGGGGGATGAGAGAGAAGGAAGAGAAGGAGGAGGGGAGGAGAGAGAGACAAAACAGAGCATGGGGTGAAGGAGGAGAGAGTAAGGAGAGAGGGGGATGACAGATTGAAACAGAGGGGGATGAGAGAGAAAGTAAGGAAGAAGAGAGAGTGACAAAACAACAGGAGAGGAGAGAGAGAAACAGAACAGAGTACAGAGGTGAAAGAGGAGAGAGGGGGATGAGAGAGGAAGTAAGGAAGAAGAAAGAGAGATAAAACAGAGCGAGAGAGGAGAAAGAGAAGACACCAAACAGAAAAGACGGTGGAGAAAGGGGGATGAGAGAGGGAGGAGAGGGATGAGAGAGAATCACAACTGAGCATGGGGTGAAAGAAGAGAGGGAGAGAAGAGGGTAAAAAAAGAGGGGAGAGAAGAGTGAGAGAAGCAAAACAGAACACTGGGGTGACGGAGGAGAAGAGAAGAGAGGGTGGGAGAGAAAAAGAAAGAAGAGAGAGAGGAGGGGGAGGAGAGAGATAAACAGAACAGAACAGCGGGGTGAAGGAGGAGAGAGAGGGTGGAAAGAAGGAAGGGAGGAAGGAAGGGAGAGAAGAGAGGCTAAGAATGGGGGGAGAGCGGAGTGAGAGAAAACAGAACAGAGGAGTGACGGAAGAGAAAGGAAGAGAAGAGACCAGAAACATAACAGAACAGAACAGGTGGTGAAGAAGGAGAGAGGGTGAGAGAGAGGAAGGAAAGAAGGAAGGAAGGGAGGACGCAGAGAGGAAGAATAGAAAGAGAGGGAGGAGAGGAAATCCAAGCGAGGAAATGACAGCATAAATGGGAAACACATGTGAAGGAGGAAAGGTGGAAACGCCCCGGACTCAAAGAGAGATAGAGGAAGTACTACAATACTACTACTACTACTACAAAAATATTACTCCAAAGTCTTACATTATGCAGTAGTCAAGCATTTTAAACCAAATTTTTTGATACCATAGCAAATATTTAAGAGATTTAAGATTTAAAGCTTAGAATAATGTGAATATAAAAAAAAATAAGTAATATTAACTTGGTTTAATCGTGGATCAGTCCTGATTTTGTCCTGGTTTAGTCCTGGCGTAGTCCTGTTTTAGATCTGTTTTAGTCCTGGTTTAGTTGGATAGTTCAGTTATGGTTTAGTCATGGTTTGGTTTTTTTTAATCCCGATTTATACCTGGTTTAGTCCAGATTAAGTCCTGCTTCAGTCTTAGTATAGTCCTGGTTTAGTCCTGTTTTAGTCCTGGTTCAGTCCTGGTTTAGTCCTGGTTTAGTCTTGGTTTAGTCTTAGTTCAGTCCTGGTTCAGTCCTGGTTTAGTCCTGGTTTAGTCCTGGTTTAGTCCTGGTTTAGTCTTGGTTTAGTCTTGGTTTAGTCTTATTTCAGTCCTGGCTCAGTCCTGGTTTAGTTCTGGTTTAGTCCTGGTTTAGTCTTGGTTTAGTCCTGGTTTAGTCTTGGTTTAGTCCTGGTTTAGTCCTGGTTTAGTCTTGGTTTAGTCTTAGTTCAGTCCTGGTTTAGTCTTGGTTTAGTCTTAGTTCAGTCCTGGTTTAGTCTTGGTTTAGTCTTAGTTCAGTCCTGGCTCAGTCCTGGTTTAGTTCTGGTTTAGTCCTGGTTTAGTCCTGGTTTAGTCTTGGTTTAGTCCTGGTTTAGTCTTGGTTTAGTCTTGGTTTAGTCCTGGTTTAGTCTTAGTTCAGTCCTGGTTTAGTCCTGGTTTAGTCTTGGTTTAGTCCTGGTTTAGTCCTGGTTTAGTCTTGGTTTAGTCCTGGTTTAGTCCTGGTTTAGTCTGGTTTAGTCCTGGTTTTAGTCCTGGTTTAGTCTTGGTTTAGTCTTAGTTCAGTCCCGGTTTAGTCCTGGTTTAGTCCTGGTTTAGTCCTTGGTTTAGTCTTAGTTCAGTCTTAGTCTGGTTTAGTCCTGGTTTAGTCTTGGTTTAGTCTTAGTTCAGTCCTGGTTTAGTCCCGGTTTAGTCCTGCTTCAGAATAGGGAATAAAACGCATGGTTAAGAATTCGGTCTACTTAACATCTTTATCTTTTTGACTTTTTGCGATTTATTTTTGTCCATGTGCCGCTCCGTACATAACCGTCGTCGTCATAGAAACCGTTTGTATGCAATAGTTCGACCTTATCTTTAATCCACCGGCGCTGAAGTGTTTGTGGGAGATTTATGTCTATTGTTAAGTATTTTAATAGCTACTTATCTTGATTTTGATTACACGGTTCCCAGTTCCCATGCCGTTCTTCTGCTTCGCGTTGCAACACTGTAATTTCCCCATCGTGGGACAAATAAAGATTCCGCTCTTATCTCATTATGCGGCACTTTAAAGAAACACGAGGTGATGAAGAGAGAAGACGAGTGACTCTGGATCGTGTGACCGACGCGGGTCTGACCACACACGAACGACAGAGAGAGAAGGAGAGAGAGAGAGAGAGAGAGAAAGATGGAGAGAGGGAGAAAGAGACAGACAAAGATAGGGAAAGAGAGATAGTGAAAGAGAAAGAGAGACGGGGAAAGAGAGGGCAAGGTGTGAAGAGGGGGAGGAAGAGAGAGAGAGACAGAGAGAGTGATGGGGAATGAGAGAGAGATGAGGAAAGACAGACAAAGAGAGATGGGAAAGAGAGAGACAGAGAAAGAGAGAGAGAGATGGGGAAGATAGAGAGAGAGATGGGAAATAGAGAGAGAGATGAGGAAAGAGAGACAAAGAGAGATGGGAAAGAGAGAGAGACAGAGAAAGAGAGAGAGAGATGGGGAAGAGAGAGAGAGAGAGATGGGAAAATAGAGAAGAGAATGAGGAAAGAGAGACAAAGAGAGATGGGAAAGGAGAGAGAGAGACAAAGAAGAGAGATGGGGAAGAGAGAGAGATGGGAAATAGAGAAAGA